AGTACATTTTTTTTTTTTTTTTTTTTTTAATCTAGTCTGAATTTTGTCACCTCTAATTATTGTGTGTGCACTACTCAGAAATAGATAAAATAAGTTGTATTCTTTGAATTTAATGCAGTAAATGGCACAAGCACAAATGTCATAGCATATTTAAGGTGCCAAGTCACCTGAATTCACATAAAATAAAATGAAGGGAGTACCAAGTAGTACCAAATTATTATTTCTGTAGCCTGAGAGGCACTTTAGCATATCATTGAATATCTCCTTTAGGTCCTAGTAACTTTACAAGTAAAAGCAGAACCATCATAATAAGAGGTAGTGGAGGATAAGAAATATAAGCACAACCATAAAAGTGACCATCAATTGACCACCATAATCATCACATACATTCCACACATAAGATTGAGTTGGTGCACATAACTCGCTCTCGAAAATATTTTGATAATTTTGCCGCAGGTGGTTTCCTCCACAATAAGCACAAGGAAGATCAACAGTAGAATTACCAACATCGAAACTCCCAGAATTCCAAGATTTCATGTTTCTCAAATCAACAAGTAAAACTAAAATTAAAAAAAATCAAATACTAAAAAAAATAAAAAAAAATTCAAACTTGAAACCTAGCAATATGTACAGCTACAGTTACATCGTTAGTTCCCCGGCAACGGCGCCAAAATTTGATCACGCCCAACTCTAGTCCTAAAAAGGATAAGCGGTCGCTGCAAATATAATCTGGTCTAAAAGTGCAGAGTCGAATCCCACAAAGAACTAAGTTTTAGCAACAACTGTTTACTATCACTAAGAAGACATGCTCGAACAATTCCTAAGTTATAAATATAAAGATTTTTATGTCTAACGAATGAACTAACAAATTAAAGAAGTAAATTAACAACTAAAGATACTAAGGGTTGGAGACAAGATTAAGAAGGTCTAGAGTTATGATTGTCCCAATTGTCGGAATTCTTTCCGCTACGTCTTCTACAATTTCGCGTAATTATTCTCTACCAATCGTGAGTACTTTGGTTGTCGTAATTCTCTCAAGAGCAACTACCACAATTTACTAGATGTATTCTCTCGAACTATAATAGTTGGCACTAATTCACCGCTCACTAAGATCGCACCAAAGTTTCGTTATCTCTAATCCCGCCTTTAAAACCTCCGTATTGATCTCTCACATATGTTAGGAGTAATGTTACATTGTTCAAAAACTACCTAAATGCGTACCCTCTCTCAAGCAATACACACTAAATAGGCACAGTCAATTGATGGCCATTCAATCCACAACAATAAACACGTAGTTGAACAAGTAGAGAAATCGAACGACTCAATTATATAAAAACATAACAAGAAGTTATCCTATAAAAGGTTCCATCAAAACCCTAGATAACAAATTAGCTATTCATAAAAGAATGCAAAACTACAAGACTAGAATTCATAACCAAAAATAAAAATAAAGGAAGAAAGATGGAAAAACGTGAAGTTGAATCATTCTCCTTGCTCCAAGTGTGTTCTTGCCTCCCCAAAGTCTTCTCTCCCTCCAAAGTAGTGTCTCTCATTCAAAAGCACGTTTTAGGATATATTTATAACGACTAGGGTTTGTATGGGGCAAATTTTCCTTCTTCTATTTTGGATTGGAAAAGTTAGTTTCTTCTACTCCGGTCTCGGTCTGGCGAAGTGAACCTCGCTTCGATGTCCGAGACTTTTCTCTTCAGCTCTTTTTTTACCATTTTTTCTCATATTTGATCTTTTTATGCATAAGTTTGTTCCTACACATAAAAAATACGTAATGAGCATATTTTCACTTTGAAAGAGATATGAACTCCCGTAACTCACACAAGAACTACACACAAACACACTCAAAACTTACACTTTTCATTCTTTATCACCACCCCAGACTTTAACTCTTGCTCTTCCTCGAGCAACTTAAAACTAAGCGCATAGACAAGAAATACCTTTCAAAACATACTCAAGCATCATACCAATGGCAGTGGTTTATGTCAATGCTTAGAACCCAGCATATGCACTCTTCATACATCGTTCCTTGTGCCTACTCAAAAATCAAGGTCTCTACTAATCCTATGCAAATCAAGTGCCTCACCAACAAACCACAAAGAAAGTAGTTCACACACTCAATGTAAGTTCAAGTATATTTTAAGGACTCAAATATTAAAATAATTCGCTCACTCTTACAAAGAAACTCTTATGCCATCAAAGGTAGTACCATAGGCTTTCCCGTAGTGTAAGTCTCTACTAATTTAAGCTCACAAAGTCTAGGATCAAGTAGGACTTTATAGGTTGTAATGTAGGCTAAAAGACGGTTAGGATATATTTGAAAAAATAGTGACTAACCCTCCTAAGCACTTTAATACACTACACTTCACTTCCTAATACCTTCTTGGCATGACCAATCCAATGTCTTGCTATGAAACTATACACATTTAGGCCCTTCTTCATTAAGCACATCAACATATAGATATTTATTATCCGAGAAAAAGATATGGAGGTGTTATTTTTTTTCACTCTCCTTAATTTGGTATTTTCGGCTAGTACCTTTTTCTTTTTGTTTATACACAAGTGCACCTTTTCGGCCTTTCTATGGTTCCACTCAAAAGCTACCCACTCTCTTTCTTTACTCTTCTGGCTACTTAAGTGCTTTCGGAGGTAAACGTTCAACAAGATTGATTAAGAACAAAGGGGATTTGGCTTGTAATGTGGTTGCCAAAGAAAAGGTCTACATGCTCAAAATGGATGACTACGTATAATATTATCCCTGATAGGCAAATAGGCTAAATGGTCAATCAAAGAAAGCCTATATCACTTCCCGAACTTACAAGACTTAATCATTTCGCTTTGACTCACACATGGGGCAAGTTCTAAACTAGCAAGGATGGCACAGAGTATGCCAAAATCTCACTTCACACGATGCACATGACTCACTCAGTACGGCTCGGACCCGACTCTCAAGTTAAAGCAACTAGCATAGTCATCATAAAATTAAAGCACACGAGAATTAATTACAAGAGTCGAAAGATGAGCCTCGGTGTCAAAAGAAAGCCGCACATATTTTCAAGTCATGTAATTACAAAGACCATGAAGAAATTACTTAGTTCAAATGCTCCTGACCTAAGCCCCGATATAAAATATGTCAAAAGCACAATTTACTCAAGCTTCTTCCCATTCCATTATCAATTCAAAAAGAATTTGTTTTATGTTTTTCGTTGGACTTTAAACCCTCAAGAAAACTGTCTAGGAAGTCCATCGTCGGAAAAAGTTCAAAACTTTATAAAAATTCTACCTACAAAAAAAAAACCACTACCTGGTTCTAAGAATCATCCCTTGAAAAAGAACCTTGGCCATAAGAAAAACCAAGAGGGATTATTTCTACCTAATTTTTTTTGATTATTTTTCAACACACATAAAATAACATAACTAAAATAGTATAGGAACACCCAAA